TTACCTTTAGAAAAAGATTCTCAACCATTTTAGTAGATTTTTTTTTTTAATTGTGGACACTGAGAGCAATTATAATTTCAGTGGTCTGGATAATGAAAGGGTTAACACACTTTCCGTAGGCACTCAGGTGATTCCTACAACTTAATGCCGTTCAAATGTTAGCTATTGCTGTATTTGTTATAATGTACGTTATGGCATTTACAACCAAAAGGGACAACAAAATCTCTTACTATCTTTACTACTTACTACACATAGAGTTGGACCCTTGTATCTGTGGGGGATACGTTCCAAGGACCTGCAGTGGATACCGAAACCATGGATAGTAGCAAACCCTATATATAAGTCCTATACACACCGGTTATAAAGTTTAATTGATAAATTATGCACAATAAGTGGAGAATTATCACTTATTTCACTGATGAGAAGCCCTTCACGGCTTCTCTTAGGCTTTGAAGAACTGCCAGCTCTTCTACTTTTGCACTTTGGGGCCATCATTATGCAAAATTAAGAGGTATTTTTTGGCCACAGTTGTCCGTGGATAATTGAAATCACAGATAGCCGAATCATTGGATACGAGGGTTCTACTGTATTTTCTTGGTTCTAGCAGTATTTCACATTCAGTACTTAATCAGTTGATATTGTTAAAATTTACAAGCACTTAGCGATTATTTTCATCATAGCATCAGTCACTCATATCATCATTATTAGTATCAGCAGTAACATTTTCATTACTTACGCTATTTTTATCAATAAAGTTTTGAGACATTACGCCATTTTTTCAATAAAGTTATGAGACGTTAGCCTTGTTTAATTGTTTTTGTTGCCTTCATAAGCATATCTCAGTACAGGCATACCCCGTGAATATGGGGCGTTAACTTCCAGACCACCGCTGCAAAGAGAATATCACCTAAGCAAATCACAGGCACTTTTTTTAACTTGCTAGTGCATTTAAAAGCCTAAAATCATGTTTATGCTATCATTTATTAACCCTTAAATGGTCCAAACATATGCATACATTCTCTCGCGTAGCACCCCAAACGTATATATACGTTTTATTTTTCATTCATTCAAAATTGGCGTGATAGGCCTGAGTCGCCTAGACATGAGAGAATGGGTGTGCGCACTCAGTGTGCGCGGTATGAAAAGAATTGGGGACACCTGAGTACCACATGGTAGGTCCAGTTACATTCAGTTCCATCTTGGGTCAGCATCATGGCACATCCTCGTGATTCACTCAGGCCTCGTCGTATTAACACTCTACTATTCGAGGAAAGTGATATAGATCGTGATTTAGTGGATTTGACACCAATGGGGCCAGTAATATTTAAGGAATTGGTGAAAATGTCGATGATAACCCAGATGACCCTCAGTCCATCGCCTCTGGGGTAGCGACACCTGTCCTAGGGCCAAGCACCTCTGGGGTAACCAGTGTGGCCACAGCAGATCCTAGGCCAAGCACTTCTGGGGTGGCCAGTGTGGCCACACAAGGCCCTGGGCCAAGCACCTCTGGAGTGGCGAGTGTTACCCATAGGCAACTTCACAAGAGGAAACTATAATTTTCCCTATGTTTTAGTGTTTTAGTGATAGTGAAAGTGATGCAAGTGATGATGAGATTGATTTTATGCCATTTGAGGATTCATCTAGCGATAGTGAAGTTCATTATTCACCAGTGAAGCGTACTTTTAGGCGTCGTTATCTACGTTCAGGCAGTGTGCCATATGCAATCCCCAAGGGTCGTGGCAGGTCACAATCCAAAACCCCGGCCTGATAGTGAAAGTGATCATGAAGGCGAGTATGCGGGGATGGAGAAAGTAGTGGTGGGTGGCACTGTGCCTCGACCACATGGCGCAGTGGCTGGACAGACAAAGGACCACCCGGCATCCCCTCAACCGTGTGCTGCCTCCACTCCTGTCCTTCCTCCTGCTCCCTCTCGCCCCATGCCACAGGTCCACCCTGCACCATGTGATCGTGAGTGGAACTGGACACAAAGTATATTCGTGCCACAGCCTTGTGATTTTGATGCGAGTGGAAGTGGTATCCAGCCAGAATGTCCCATAATGAATGAGTCTACAGAATTAGACTATTTCCAGTTGTACTTTGACGAGCCTATAATGAACTTGATAGTGACCCAGACAAACAATTATTACCGATATGTCATGGACAACATAACAGAGGTTGGAGAATCGTCACGGCTGCACAGGTAGAAGGACACAACAGTGGCTGAAATGTATGTATTCTTTGCCACTGTCATGCTTATGCCACATATCTGTAAGAACAATATACGTAATTACTGGTCCACAGACCACTTAATCAGTACTCCAGTTTTCTGTGTCCTCTTTCCTTGCAATAGATTCACTCTGTTGCTACGAATGTTGCACTTCTCAGAGAGAAATACGCCAAACAGAAATGACCTTCTATACAAAATCCGGGAAGTGTTTATGTATTTGAAACAGAAATTCAGTGCATACTTTTATCTCTTCAAGAACATTGTTGTTGATGAGTCCTTGATTCTGTTCAAGGGAACATTGTTGTTGATGAGTCCTTGATTCTGTTCAAGGGACGCCTGTCATTCAAGCAATATATACTGGGCAAATATAATCGCTTTGGCATAAAACTTTTTGTTATGTGTGACTGTGAGAGTGGTCTTGTTTTGGATGTTATTGTATACACCGGGAGAAATACACTCGATGATGACAAACGGATGTTGAGCATTTCCGATGATGTTGTTCGCAGGATGATAGAACCATACCTTGGCAAGGGCCATACATTGTACACAGACAACTGGTATACAAGCCCTATGCTCGCTGATTTCCTACGTGTGAACAATACTGATATATGTGGAACAGCGAGAAGGAATAGAAAACATATACCAAGGTTCAGTGGAGGCAGTGTTGAAGGTACAGTGCAAGTGTTTCATGCTAATGACATCATGGCACTAACATGGCATGACAAACAGGACGTGACATTGCTATCAACCATCCACAGAAACGAGATGGTACAAACAGACAGACTGAGCAAGTTCAACAAAAAACCTATTGTAAAGCCAGCTGCTGTCGTGGACTATACGAATAATATGCGACTAGTTGACAAGTGTGACATGATGATGGGGTTTGTTGACTGTGTGCGTAGGAGTTGCAAGTGGTATATAAAACTGTTTTTTCACCTTGTAGACATTGCAGTGCTCAATGCATTCAATATGTATGAAATAAAGACTGGAAAACGACAACGTTTTGCAGAATTCTCTCTGAATGTTGTCAAACAGATAGCAAGAAAGTATGGTACCACATCTGTACCTGCCCCTCAACAGCGACCTGTCACACCACAACCTGTCCCCCAACCACAGCCAGTGGGGAAAGTGCCAGACTAAATCACTCCTAACTGGCACTATCTGGTACCAATACCACCTACCCAAAAGAAGAAGAATGCCCAGAAAAAGTGTGTTGTGTATGCTACCACCAAAAAACGACCCCAGCAGCGGAGGGACACACGATTCATGTGTCACCAGTGTGGGGTGGCACTCTATGAATCCATGCTTCATGGAGTATCATACAATCATGGAGTTCTAGAAACATAAGTAGGGTATGTAAATACTTGTACAGTACATAGTTGTAGATAATAGAATGTGATTCAGCCAGGTGTGCAAAATCACCTGTCAGTGTGTACATGTGTGTTTATGACAACATGATAATAATTTCGTATATAATATTGGTGTATAAACAACAATTGGCATTAAAATCAAAAGTCTTACTATAAAACATAATTATCATATCATGGAAACCAAGAAAATGAAAAAAAAAATGGAAGAAAACTGCAAATATGTAGAATTTCTGCAAGCTGCAGCGCTCCATGTTGCTGTCATGTGATAGCCAAGTGCCAACTTCGCGGCCTCATATCTCGGTAAGTACTGACCGTAATTTTTTTTTATTCTAAAGCACTTAAAAAAATGTGCTCTTTTTTCTCTCTAATTTTTTTTTTTTTTTTTTTTTTTTTTTTTTTTTTTTTTTTTTCAAAATATTTGGGGCGCTGCACGAGTGAACATATATATACATTTGGACCATTTAAGGGTTAAGTGTGCAATAGCTACTGTACTGTACATAATGCTAACCTTAAAATGTTTTTGTCCTTTTCTTATGGTGACTGACGAATGAATATTTTAGAAGAATTATTGAAGGAAGGCTGGGTTGATTTTCTAACCAGACCACTAAAATTTTCTCCATATCAGCAATAAGGCTGTCTCGCTTTCTTATCACTTTCATATTCACTGGAGTAACACTTTTAATTTCTATCTAGAACTTCTCCTTTGAGTTTACTACTGTGGTAACTCTTTGACATGCTAAACATAGCTTCTATGTTGGCATTCGATGTGCCTTTCTTGCTAAGCTTGAAAATTTCTAGCATTTGATTTGAAGTTAGAGGCTTGCGACTTTTCTTTTCGCTAACATTAAACTTAGGAGCCATTGTATTATAATTAATAATTACAGTAATAATAATAACACAAATAAAAAGTATGGAAAATCTTGAAAAACACCAGAATACGACACTGAGACGTAAAATGCACAAATGCAGTAAACAGTCTAAGTGTGGGTAACAAAATGGCACTGATCAGCTGATGTGCATGTCACTTCCGAAAATGATAAACATGACTATAGTCGAAAAGAGTCATATTAGCAAAGCACTCTAAAGCGAAGCATGGTGTTAACGAGATATGCCTGTACTGTACCACAGTCTAAGATTTTTTTCTTAAACTAATTCTTCTCTTAAAGATTGTGTTTATTTGATGCACTTTTTACTTTACTTCATTTTTATTTATTTTTTTTTTATCTCTCTCACATGTTTTTATAGCTTATGCACAATTTAATTTGTTTTATACAGCTTTTAATTAAATATTCCCTCTGAAATAATTTATTATTTTATGTATTCTTTGTATAGTGAAATCGCTAAATATGGCCAAGTCTTTAGGTGTTATCTTGTTGTCAGTAGTCACTGTTTACCATTTGCAGGCTTTGCAGAGAAGCCTTGAGAAGGAGTTGGATTCTATTAATCGTCAAATATCGAAAATACAGGAAGAACTCAAGAACATGAAAGACGTTGAAGCTCAAGTAAGCCTTTTATTTAATTTTACTTATTTTTTTAATTTATTTAATGCTGTTCAATTTTTAGTTATGATGATTTTCATTAAATATATGTAAAGCACCTAAAATAAACATTATAATAATTATTTGCTATTAATGCATTTTAAGTTTAAGATTTTGCTAATTTCACTAATTTTTATCTTTGTTTTATATCTCATTTTTTGATAACTTGGTTTAGTGTTTTTTCTGGATTATGCCACTTACTGCATTGTAATAACTCAAGCAGTCTTTCACACTATATAAGAGACAATGTGATGGGCTTGTAATCTGTATTCTTATGCTCAGAATTTTGAAGAGGTGTTCTGGATGTGTGAAGATCACCAAGCTTGTAATGTGCCCATGGCACTCTGCATATACTTGCTGCTTTTGCTGTGGCCAACTAATGTGATGTTTAACTAGAAGACTGAATTGTTTAGAAAATTTAATTCATAATTTGATTTTTTTTTTGGTGTTTATGTTATGTCATGATGTGTTGTATTTGTTTTCAGTTTCACTCGCACCCTCGCTCCTCCCCACGCTCTCCCCCTCTTTCTCGTCATCATTTTTCCCTCCCACATTCCCACTCCCAGCACTCACATACACGTTCAGTCTCTGAAATTCCCCCTCCACTCCCAGCACGTAACCGCTCCCTAGTCACTCAGATATCAGCCCCTTCATTAACTTCCTTGACCCTGCTCCTCCTCTTCCCCCTCGACATATGCAGCTGGAGAGATTTGGGGAGGGAGGCCTAGCACAAAGTCTAGAGAACATTCATAAGGTGCAGTCTCTCAGTCATGTAAGTTGCTGAAGCTATGAAAACAATGTTGAAATACAATAAGATTTTGTTGCTGTGGGTGTTTAAACTGCTCTTATGATTTGTATGCAGCTGTCACCTTAGCTGTATTTTGGATTGGCTTTTTCTGCTTATGCTGTGCCTGTGCTCTTGATATTTTTAAGGTTCATTAAAAATGGTTGGTATTTGAAGTGTAGGTGGAAGATTTTCAAGTGCATGAGTATTTTTAAGATGTATTCAATACAACAAATATGTATGTGTTAATAATTAGAACAAGTATTTTTAGCTTTTATGTTGGCATGTAATTACCAATGTGAGGTACAGTATTAGTTGCACTACATTTATATGAACTGCACATAATGACAAAAGTTGCATGTCAAGATTTCTTATAATTATGGGTGAAAATTTAAAGACATCGTATAGTCTTGGTTATATTTACTTTTTTTTTTTGGTTGGGGAGTTTTTTTTTGACCTAACTAATAGTGGAAATAAATTTATTGGTTAAGTTGAAATTATTTTTTTGAAATGTATAATATATTACTTCTTTAACTAAATTTAGTTTTTGTAACAATGGGATGCACTGCATGTCACCACCAATGCAGGCAGTAGTAAGTGGGTCATACTATAGCAGTGAGCATGGTATTGGGTCACATTTTTAAATTAACTTATAATAGGCAGTTCTTCATATTACCTTTTTCCAGGTAACTTAGGCAGTGCTGCTTCACTGTGGTGCAGAGGGCACTGGGCAGCAGAAAACAGTATTGCACTGTTATTTTGTTTGAATTCATCAGTGGGTTGTAGCCCTTTAACCATTAAAAACAACATTTTGGCGATGAGATTCTAAATACTTTTTTTTTGTTTTTTTAATTTTTTCAAAAAAAAATGAAAGTGCTCATTAAAAAAAGGGGTACATTTTTGATGCTACTTATTTTGAAAAAAAATTTAATAGGGGCCCCTTTAAAGGGTATGAGGCATTTTTTTTTTTGGTGTAGTATCTAAACACAATTCAGCAGTGTTTCAGTTTCACTACAGACATTCCCCCTGCAGGAGAGGGGTTTTAAGTATTGTGGTGCATGTATGTCTGACTGCACATGTCTTTAGTCAGCCCCTTCATGACCTTCTCACATAAGTATTTTGTTCAAAAATTTGAATTTGTGTTTTTAAAAATAATTTTCTGTAGGGTAAGAAAGGGGGGTGGGGTCATCCTAAAAAGGGTTTGGAGGGAGGGGGTAAAAGGAGTTTTTTGTGGGCAATTTGGCTTGGACTTCCAGAAAGCGTGCATTAGCGTGTTGATAGGAATAAATGGAGACAAATGTTTTTGGGCCTGACAAGGTGTTGGGTGTAAACAATAAATCTTTATGTCTGAACCCCCTAAAAACCCCCCTCCCAGCCTCTGGTAATAGTTTTGGTAATCCCCAACCTCCTCCTAATTTCCAAACTGTGAATTTCTGCTTATTTCATCCACACTTGCCCCCGGAACAGCTCTCCCGCCTCCAGCCTTCTTTTTGCAAAAATTACTACCCATGCTTTACACCCATATAAAAGGTTGGTATAACTATTTCTCTACATTCTCTCTTTGATCCCTGGACAAAGTTCTTTGTCTCCACAGATCCTCAGTGCCCATCCTTTTTCTCCTCATCGTTTGTGATTCACACCATTTTTATAGACCATCTGCTGAACCCTCCCCTCCTAAATAAATGCATTACCTCCTCCATAATCTCTCTCCCAAACTGTATCCCGTCTTTTGTTACCTATTTTTTTTGTTATCCTCATCACTTTTCATTTTGTATATTTACTTTAAACTTGTATTATTTTAAACGTGATTTGTCATAACAGTATTTGTTTAAAAGCCGGGGGGTCAAAAAAAGTATCCTGTCCAAATGACAGGGAAGCATAAATTAGAAAATAGGGAAACCCTTGGGGAAAAAACCCAAAATGGAGCTGTGTGATCTAAAGGTAGTATAAAACTCCTTTTTATGGTATTTTAGAGAGAAATCTGATTATTTGTATTCCAAGTGGTTTATCAATCCCTCCTCAGACAGTAATTGTCTATATTGTGCTTCAGAAGATTGTAATGTACTTCTCAGATGATAAAATATAACCAGGAATGATTAGACATGGTCTACAGTGTCCAATAATTGAGTCAAACCTATTAAAAATCTTTAATACAGATGAGGAGATATAGGGGGCCTTACCCATCTTCAAGAAAATCGTCAGAAATTGAAAGTTGCTACTACCTTGAGCTTTATTTCAAGCTACTTCTGATCTTACACAAATAACCTGCACATAGGAAAGGGTTATATGTGTATTGTTTCAGTCACGGTATTGTGCCTTTTTGTTATTTACTTCTGATCTTGAAACCAGCCCAAAAAATTCTATTTTATGGGATATCTTCCTTGAAAAACACCAGAATACGACACTGAGACGTAAATGCACAAATGCAGTAAACAGTCTAAGTGTGGGTAACAAAATGGCACTGATCAGCTGATGTGCATGTCACTGCCGAAAATGATAAACATGACTATAGTCGAAAAGAGTCATATTAGCAAAGCACTCTAAAGCGAAGCATGGTGTTAACGAGATATGCCTGTACTGTACCACAGTCTAAGATTTTTTTCTTAAACTAATTCTTCTCTTAAAGATTGTGTTTATTTGATGCACTTTTTACTTTACTTCATTTTTATTTATTTTTTTTTATCTCTCTCACATGTTTTTATAGCTTATGCACAATTTAATTTGTTTTATACAGCTTTTAATTAAATATTCCCTCTGAAATAATTTATTATTTTATGTATTCTTTGTATAGTGAAATCGCTAAATATGGCCAAGTCTTTAGGTGTTATCTTGTTGTCAGTAGTCACTGTTTACCATTTGCAGGCTTTGCAGAGAAGCCTTGAGAAGGAGTTGGATTCTATTAATCGTCAAATATCGAAAATACAGGAAGAACTCAAGAACATGAAAGACGTTGAAGCTCAAGTAAGCCTTTTATTTAATTTTACTTATTTTTTAATTTATTTAATGCTGTTCAATTTTTAGTTATGATGATTTTCATTAAATATATGTAAAGCACCTAAAATAAACATTATAATAATTATTTGCTATTAATGCATTTTAAGTTTAAGATTTTGCTAATTTCACTAATTTTTATCTTTGTTTTATATCTCATTTTTTGATAACTTGGTTTAGTGTTTTTTCTGGATTATGCCACTTACTGCATTGTAATAACTCAAGCAGTCTTTCACACTATATAAGAGACAATGTGATGGGCTTGTAATCTGTATTCTTATGCTCAGAATTTTGAAGAGGTGTTCTGGATGTGTGAAGATCACCAAGCTTGTAATGTGCCCATGGCACTCTGCATATACTTGCTGCTTTTGCTGTGGCCAACTAATGTGATGTTTAACTAGAAGACTGAATTGTTTAGAAAATTTAATTCATAATTTGATTTTTTTTTTGGTGTTTATGTTATGTCATGATGTGTTGTATTTGTTTTCAGTTTCACTCGCACCCTCGCTCCTCCCCACGCTCTCCCCCTCTTTCTCGTCCATCATTTTCCCTCCCACATTCCCACTCCCAGCACTCACATACACGTTCAGTCTCTGAAATTCCCCCTCCACTCCCAGCACGTAACCGCTCCCTAGTCACTCAGATATCAGCCCCTTCATTAACTTCCTTGACCCCTGCTCCTCCTCTTCCCCCTCGACATATGCAGCTGGAGAGATTTGGGGAGGGAGGCCTAGCACAAAGTCTAGAGAACATTCATAAGGTGCAGTCTCTCAGTCATGTAAGTTGCTGAAGCTATGAAAACAATGTTGAAATACAATAAGATTTTGTTGCTGTGGGTGCTAAACTGCTCTTATGATTTGTATGCAGCTGTCACCTTAGCTGTATTTTGGATTGGCTTTTTCTGCTTATGCTGTGCCTGTGCTCTTGATATTTTTAAGGTTCATTAAAAATGGTTGGTATTTGAAGTGTAGGTGGAAGATTTTCAAGTGCATGAGTATTTTTAAGATGTATTCAATACAACAAATATGTATGTGTTAATAATTAGAACAAGTATTTTTAGCTTTTATGTTGGCATGTAATTACCAATGTGAGGTACAGTATTAGTTGCACTACATTTATATGAACTGCACATAATGACAAAAGTTGCATGTCAAGATTTCTTATAATTATGGGTGAAAATTTAAAGACATCGTATAGTCTTGGTTATATTTACTTTTTTTTTTGGTCGGGGAGTTTTTTTTTTGACCTAACTAATAGTGGAAATAAATTTATTGGTTAAGTTGAAATTATTTTTTTGAAATGTATAATATATTACTTCTTTAACTAAATTTAGTTTTTGTAACAATGGGATGCACTGCATGTCACCACCAATGCAGGCAGTAGTAAGTGGGTCATACTATAGCAGTGAGCATGGTATTGGGTCACATTTTTAAATTAACTTATAATAGGCAGTTCTTCATATTACCTTTTTCCAGGTAACTTAGGCAGTGCTGCTTCACTGTGGTGCAGAGGGCACTGGGCAGCAGAAAACAGTATTGCACTGTTATTTTGTTTGAATTCATCAGTGGGTTGTAGCCCTTTAACCAATAATAACAACATTTTGGCGATGAGATTCTGAATACTACTTTGTTTTGATATTTTAACTTTTTCAAAATAAATGTAAGTGCTCATTAACAAAGGGGTACATCTTTGATGATACTTATTTTGCAAAAAATTTAACTAGGGGCACCTTAAGGCTATGAGGCATTTCTTTTTTGGTGCTAGTCATCTAAACACAAATTCAGCAGTGTTTCAGTTTCACTCATCAGACCACTTCCCTGCATGGAGATGGAGTTAAAGATATTGTGGTGCAGTGTATGCTACTGACTGCACACTGTCTTTCACTGCTCAGCACCCTTCATGACCTCTCTCACATAAGTAGTCCTGTTCACAACTATGAATTTGTGTTTTTATAAAAATAATTATATCTGTAGGGTAAGAAAGGAGGGGTAGGGGTCATCCTCAAAATGGTTGGAGGGAGGGGGTAAAGGAGATTTTGTGGGCAATGGGCTTGGACTTCCAGCAAGCGTGCATTAGCGTGTTAGATAGGAATGAATGGAGACAAATGATTTTTGGGACCTGACAAGGTGTTGGAGTGTGAGCAGGATAATATCTCTTCATGTCTGAACCACCTCAACAACCCCTCCTCAGCCCTCTGGATAATAGTTTTGGTAATCCCACACCTCCTCCTAATTTCCAAACTGTGAATTCTCTGCATTATATTCATACTGCCTTAAACCCCAAAATTCTTAAAAAATTTTGACTCACTTGCTTTGAACAATTTCCCCCAAAACCCAGTCCCGCGGCAAACAACCAAATTATATGATGATAAATTTAAAAAAAATTTTTCCCCCAAAATTTAGTCCTTCTTGGTAGGGCCAAAGTACTGTTTAAAAAATTCAAAAACCATGTGCAATTTGGCAACCCTTCCCTGGTCCCTGATAGTGTTATTCTCCAGGAAGTTTATAAATTGCCCTTTAGAAAAAGTAAAAGCACGTTAATTGAGCGGCGGCTGGCAAAGGCGGCTCAACCCCTTTGTTTCTGTTTTTTTCTTTTTAGGGGAAATTTTGGTTACCTTTAAATGGTTTAAATTAAGTGAAAACTGGATACCAAAATCGAAAGTGTATCCCCTTTGACTGTGACTTTTACTTGTAACCCCCTGTTTGCCCTTCTGGAATTAAAATCCCCTCCTTGAAACAAAGTTTGGGGGAAAAATTTGGGTTGGCGTGGTTGGCCGATTGGGTGCGTGATTCTGCGTCCCCCTGTTTTATGTCTCAGGTCAAGGAAATGGTCCATTTAAGCAAGGAAATTGAAACAAGAAATCAGGAAAGGTTAACGATGAAAAAAAAAAACTGCTGGAAACGGGGAAAATAATCCTTTTCATTGTTCCCAGGAATGGAGTGGATTTGGGAAGAGGTCAAGCTTTAAAGGAAGGGGGAAGGGGGGGAAGCCAAAAAAAGGGGCCCGGAAGGACGGGAAAGGGGAGACAGAAAGCCGGGCGGAGGAGATTTTTTACCCGGAGACAAAAAAAAGGGAAAGGGGGACATCCTAAACGTCTAGTCTGGAGGAAAAAATAACGGGGTTTGGGACGTTAGCGGTAAGGTCACTAATTTAAAAGTTAAGGGTTAACCCTCCATTTTTAAATTGCCGGGGGAGGGGAATAATTTCCAGGGTTTAAAAATTTTGCGGCCCAAAATACTTTAAGAAAAGAGGTAAAACTTAAAGGGGGAAAATCTTTAGGGCGAAATGAATGTTGTAGGGTTTTTGAATTAGGTTGGGGGGAGATGGAAATAAAGGGGGGGGTTTAGGGAAAAATGGGGGTAGTGTGGCAGGGTTTTAGTGAAACATTAAGTCAGTGAGAAATTTTAAAAGGGTTCTAGGGGAATTTAGTAATAAAGAAGGAAGTATTGAGGGGGAAATTGGGTGTTAAGGGTTAGGTTTAGTTTTGAAAAAAAAATGAGAAGGGTTTTTAAAGGAAAGGAGGCTTTCAATTTTTATTATGAAAAAGGGGATTAGGAATAAGTAGGCAGTTGAAGGATTGTGTGAGTACCTTGGTGTTTTCTTAAATAGATGGGTTTAATAAAAACGGGCCTTGCGGGGGGAAAAAAATTTTTAAAATTTCCAAAATAAAGTTTGGGGAAGGTTTGGTGGGGTTGTTGTGAGATCGCTTAAAATGTGCAAAAAGGGTGATAATTTTGGGAAAAAATTAAAAAAGAGGAAAATTTAAAGGGCAGGAAAAAAGGTTTTAGGATAAAAAAGTAAAAATTAGATGGGGAGGGAAAATTTGGGAGGATTGTAAACAAAAGGGGATGTTTTTCAGGGAAATTTAATTAGATGTTGATTGAATTTGAGGGTTTAAAGATTTCATTTTTGGGAAGTTTAAAAAGTTTTTGCTTTGGAAGGAACAAGGGGAAAAAAATTGTTAAATTTTAGGGGTTGAATCTGTTAATAATTTAGAAAACTGAGGATGGGTGTTAGGCCTAAACAATTTTTGTTAAATTTAAGAGAAACGAAAATTTGGAAAGTAATTTTGGGGTTACAGATTCGAGGGTTTGAGGAATTTTTGGGGGGGTTAGGAAAAAAGGCTAAAAATTTGACTTTTCAAATTACAGCTGTAAAAGGGGTTTTTGGTAGAAAAAGAAAGAAAAAGGAGTTTTGGAAAAAACTTGGAAAAAAAAAAGGAAATTTTAGGGTTAAAAGGGTGGGGCATTTTAATCAGTTTTGGGATAGAACATTAAAAGGGGAAAAAAACGGGATATTTAAGTTGTGGGGTTTAAATCCCCAAAAAGTTTTTTGGGTCTTTTAAAAAATTGGGTAAAAAGGGCCCCCTTAAAAAACAGGGAATGAAAAGAGTGAAATTTTTTTTTTAAATTTTTTTTTTCCCATTTTTAAAAAAAATAAAATTTTTAAATTTTTTTTCAGGGGTTTTAAAAAGAAAAATTATGTTTTACAATAGTAATTTTCAAATGGAAAAAATGGGAAAATTTCCGGGTTATGGGTTTTTAATTTTAAAGGAAAAAAAAAAACCGGAAAAAAAAATTTTTTTTAAAATTTTTTTTCAACGGGGATGTTGTTTTGGGAGATGGAATTTTTTTTTAAAAAAAAGGGGAAAAATTTATTTTCCCCCCCCAAAAAAATGCCTCAATTTAAAAAAACAATTTTTTCGGAATTTGAAGCCTTAAGATGTTGATTAAGTATAGCATTTAAAGACGGGAAAAAAATTTTTTTTTTTAGAAATTTTTGACTTTCCCAATAAAAAATTTGATTTTATTAAATTTTAGTAATTTTAGATTGCCCCCTGATGAAAAGAATTAGGAGGGGGGGAAAAAGGCCCTTTTAGAGGATGGGGAACAAAAGGGTTTCCATAAATGGGGAAATCCGGGGGGGACTGTTTTTTCGTTACGGGGAAGTCTTGGGGTTTGGTTTTTTAAAATTTTAAATCAAGTCGATGGGGAATTAAGTGTTACAAAGGGATGAAAAAGATAGGGGGATATTAAAATTTTGTTTGGAAATTGGGGGAAATTTAAAAAAAATTTTCTTGGAAAAAAAAAGGGGAGTCACAATGGTTTTTAATAATTTTTTGGGTTCCCCCCAAAAAACCGTATTAAAAAAAATGATTAAAAATAAAAAATTCAGGGGAGGGGGTTTTTGGGGAGCAAAACCTTAAAAAGAAAGCTTTTAAAGGTTTTAAAAGGAAATAGATTAGGGGGATTAATTCAGAATGAAGAAAAAAGTGGGAATGATTTATAATATTGAAGGTCATGTTATGATAGTGGCCCGATACAAAAGGAAAAAAATTTTTTAAAAAATTTTTGGGAAGAATTTTAAATTAAAAAAAAAATTTTTTTAAAAAAATTAAGACTTTTTTTTTACATTACTTTTAACAAAGAATGAGGGGAGATGTCAATTTTAAGGGAAGTAGGAAAAAAGGGGAATTTTAAAACTTGGGGGAAACCAAGAGAAAGGATAAATTTAAATTGGGGGAGAAAAAAAGGGGGTTTTGGTTTAAAAAAAGGGGTAGTTGATGAGGGAAAGTCTTATTGGTTTGGGGGGATTTGGGAGAAAAACCGGGGGGGAATTGGGGGGGGTTGGTTTGGGTGGGATTCCCCCCCCGGTTATTTTTGGGGGCTTAAAAAAATTGGGGTTTGGGAAAGTTTTTTGGAATTTAAATGAAAGGGCCCTGTATTGGGGGGGGTTTCCTAGGTTTTTTTTAGTTCAAGTTGAATAAAAATCTTTAAA